AATTGAATGACATTTTACAATTACAGAAATTCTTCAAAAAATCTGATCTTCCCAATTTCAACCCAAATGATTGTCTTGACAAATCCACATTGTCACTTAATCACTGTGTGTCACAAAACAATGAGGTAGCTGATTCTGGCTCGGCAACAAGCACAGACAATCCTCTTAGGCCAGATTGTGGTGACCAGTCTAAAAAGCATCAAGAAAGGACCTCACAACCACTGGAGGTTTTAAAAGAAACTACTGAATTGTTGACATTTCAAATAACAGATATCCGCAGTGTGCAACAGACAATTGACATTACTTGATGATTAAGTCACTCACAATATTATTGAGGTCACATACATACATACATACATACATATATATATATATATATATATATATATATATATATATATATATATATATATTGGGAGGAAGAAGTATGTCAAAGTGGAAAAAAGTTTTCATATAATGCATTTTGTCCTTTAGGACTTCATCAGACTAAATTCATGTTTACGTTGATGCAACTACACATGCACAAACGAGAGACGCTGGGAATTTTAAATTAAAATTTTTTTTTTTAAATGGGATTTGGGTATAAAATTTAGCTTATTTAATCTAGATTCTTTTTCGTTTTGTTCATGTTTCCATCACTTTTGTTATTAAATATCACACATTGTTATAATAGAAGATCTGCTAAGAATGGTGAAACGTAAGACTCTGGACGCAAGTTTACTGTGGATGATCTCATGATTAAAACACTTTCTTAACATTTTTGTCTTAGTAAATTGTTTTCTCTTTTAATTAGAGTAGCATTTTTTATGTCAAAATTGTGGTCAGTCTAGTTATAGTGAGCAACGAATGCATTTAATGTGTTGTAAAAGGTCCCTTTGTGTTCATATAATCTTTTATTTAAATTCCTTGAGGTTTCTTCGTTGTATTCCTTGTGGCAATTATTACAGGTAAATTCCTCCAAGTTTTAGCTTATTATTTTGTTTTGTATTAAGTCTTTTATTGTTTTAGATGTAGTTATGACAATTTTTATGTTGAGTTTTAGATAAACACTTTTCAATTGTAGTTGTGATAGATTTAATGAATAGAACAATATATTTTTTTGTTTCATTGGGTTTGTCAGGAATTTTACGTTTATCTATTTTGAATTATTTTATGAGCTTTTTGTTTTGCATTGAATATGAAATAGGATAGTGTATAGTGTTGAAAGTATTATCAATGTATTTCCCCTCTTCATGTAAATATTGAGGGCTGCAAATTTTGAGTGCTCATCAGTTGCATAAACTTAGTCTGATGGAGGCCTAAAGGACGAAACATGTCACGTGAAATCTTTCCACTTTTTCATACATTTTCTCCTAAAATTGTTCCTGATCTATAAAAAACTTACATATATAAAAAAATAATATATATATATATATATATATATATATATATATATATATAATATACTTATCTAAGTTAAGCCATCTAGTCAGAGGGACTATTGGAATTGAAGTTTGCTAACACTGACCTGTGAAACTTGTTAAATATTACTTTGTGGTAAAAGGCCTCAGTTGATATTTACTAATCTTATTACTAGCACAGGTAGATATCATGGGGGGTAATTGGTTATGTCTGAACACACTCAGAGTTGTCTGTAACTAGAAAAGGACTCATTCCCTTTTTTTTTTTTTTTAATGAACGGGGGTTAAATAAATAAAAATTTGTAAACATGTCAAATGATGCATTATGTGTGTCATGTTGTCTCTGATACATATATGTCAGGTCCATGCAACAAGAATTAAAAACCTCACTGTTTCCTTTATTATGATTTAAAATAAATAAAAACAGCAACTATAACATGAATGCATCACATGACATAATGTAAAAAAGTAGTGAGGATGTATTTTATCATAATTCTTTACAGTTTAATAAATTGAATCTTCTTTAGCAGAATGAAACACAAGTAATCTTATAAAGTAATTTCTAATGGTTACTCTAATAAAAACTTAAATGATGTATAACAATTTTTTTTTCTAATGGTAATTCTAAGAAAGCAATAGATGACATTATGTAAGGGTTTAAATATACAAGTTAGCAATGAATGTGTAAATAAATTTAATTTTTTAAATAAAATAAACGACAAATTGTCTTATTTTCTTGTGCATAATACGAGAAATTTTAAACAAAAATTAAAGACTAAAAGTGTGTGTGGATCATATTATACACAAGAACACATTTTCTGAAACTTAAAAAAAAAACCTTTTATTTGAAACAGCAAGATTGCAAATATGCTCAGTTTTATTCCTAACATAAAGTTTGTTTATATTTTGATTTTCTGTTTTTTTTGTGTTTTTTTTTTTTTTAAATAATGTTTTCACTCTTCATTCTTAACAAAAGCCAATATTTTTTATTTTTATAGTTTATTAATACATAGAAATATAATAAAGTCATATCAAACAGAAAAGTATGATAGATTAATTAACACCTTAAAATGTATAACCAGGGTGACTAATTAACACCTTTCCATGAAAATTCAAAAATAAGTTTTGAAACAGAAATTAGGAGAAGGAACATGCAATGGCTAAACATTCAGTTAATCTCTATACTTCAATGCTGTGAAAATTAAATATTTTAGTATACAACATTGATATTTTAATGGGTAATATGGTAAAAAAATTTAAAAAGAAAATTTCCAAAGGGATAGCTATACTCTGGGGATTGTATCATACTTAAGGATGCAATTTATTCCCTGTTTTTAGCTTCAGAAATAAAGTAAAACAAGAAAATGTAGTAGCCATTTCTATTTAAAAAAAAAAAATGGTATTATACAAGAGTTCAGATATCTATGGTAACAGCAAATATATTAAGGAATTTAATTTTCTTCATCAAAATAGTCATTTATGCAGAAATGTTCTGGTAATTCTACAAAAAGCCATGGATGCCATTATGTAAGTGCCCAGATATCTACAGCAACAGGGGTAATAAATTTAATTAAGTAATTTGTTTTTTTGTAATTAAATTAAATTAGCTTTTATACATAAATTTCTGCTGGTAATTCTACTAAAACCAAAACTGGTTAGCTGATTTCAAATTCCAGTTGGTTTCTTACATTCACTTTAACTCAAATACTCTTGGAAAGATATGAATCCATCTCTCCTCCACTATGGATTAAATAGGATTTGTCTATGGCAAGATCATTGTTATTCTCAATAAAATTGTTGATATGCAATATTCACTTGAATTATTCTTAGAATCCCCCAAAATTATTTGGCTTTCAATAATCCATAAAATATTGATAAGCTAAAAAAAATCAGTTTACTAAAAATCATAGATGATGTTACATAAAGGTTCAAATATCCCAAGTAGCAGTGAACGTTTCAAAGAGTATAGAACATTATAAATAATTTAAATTGAAATAGTCGAAATAAACAAGAATGATTCTTTTTTGTTTTCATAAACAAGGAACAATTATAATAATTTGACCGAAGACATGTCTTGAAATTGCTTCCAAAATAATGAAGAAAGAAAATGAGACTCATGGTTTTTAATAGCATGGCTGATTGCGAAAAGATAAAAACTGTGATTTCATTATTTCCTTTCAAAATCAGATGATATCACTTTGATTTTCCCCCTGTAAAATATGAATAACTAAAAATTCAGATATGTTCAAAAATATATATATATGTATGTAAAAAGGCTATGAATAAAGACAAACGGAAAACTTACCTTAGCCGATGTGTTTTGTCATCTGATGGATTTTATCAAGGGAAGTCCATCGGAGGAAGAATCACATCAGCTAAGGTAAGTTTTGTCGTAAATAATTGTCCTGATTTTTGTATAATTCAATCTTCTGTATGAGTCAGTTTGTCAAGAAATCATCAGTTTTTTTTCCTAGTTAGTGGATGATCAAATTTGGCTCACAAAAACATGGCTTAGGAAACCCATTACTGGAAACTCTTTCTAAAAATCTGCCCATGTCTTAAATTGACTCTCAATAAACCTTGAACATCAAAGGCAAAATATCATGAAACAATATTCATTTGATAAAACAATGAAATACAGCAAAGTATTTGATATTTTCATTCAAAGTCTGCATAAGATACTAGGGTAATACAATAGTTTCTGGATTTGGCTGAAAAGAAAATCCTTTTTTTAGACAAATAAGTGACTTATATCAAATGATCAATTACAAATTCAATTAAGGTGAATTCTTTTGTTTTTGAGGATAAGATCACATTAAGAATGCAATACGTTGAGCATAAAATTCTTTTTGAGGCAAGACACCTTTCTTGTTTTAATTTTTACATCTCTATAATTGGTGTATCATTTCTCATCCAGGAAATGCAGTGAAGATCATAATACATACATACATACATACACATATATATATATATATATATATATATATATATATATATATATATATATATATATATATTAGAGCATATTTTAACTCTCTCTTACATTGAGCACATTTACCCATTTCATCTACCTTAAAACTATATTTTATTTTGCTATCCCTGCATTTTTTAACTTTTTAAACAGTGAAATTAATAACTGGCCTAGATTGAAAAGTGCTACTAAAGAAAAATTTATGATCAAGGTTGGTTTATTTTCACTGTTTAAAGAGACAAAAAAAAAAAAAGAAAGCAGGGAGATCAATTCAAACGTGTATTAACTAAAAAATGACTGGCAAACTTAGAGCTTCATGCTTACAAAAAGAAAAAGAAAAGGGTGTGTTAAACTCAAAAGGATGGTTTTTCCTTTGACACTGCTATTATTTTAACTACCTTCACTTCTTGGCAATGTTTATTGTTTTAAAAAGTGATGATTAGAATTGTCATAAAACTAGGTACCTCCATGAAAATGCTCAAAAATTAGCATACCCTAAATGAAAACATAGTTTTATTGTCAAAATCGTTGTTATTATTAAGAGGAAGGATCAAAGTTTTTTTTTTTTTTTTTTTTTTTTTTTTTTGATTAAATAAAAACTTGTTTTCTTATGTCAACGGTTGTACTAA